GTCACATCAGCTATTGCTAAATTTCATTTTTTACAAGAGAACGTATGTGCGCATTCCTTTAAAAATTCAAGGAATTTACTTCGCACAATGCAGAAAATTCACTAAAACTTGCAGAAAAATCCGCACAACCATTTTTATGTAAAAAAGTCAATTGCCCAATTAAATTTGACAATAGCTGATGTGACTTGGTTCCTTTCTGCTTAACGCAGTCTTGTTGACTCCTGGGGCTGATCATTGAAACTGATAGAGAAAGCGATGGACAAAGAAAAAGTAGAAAAGATGGAAAATGGAGCACTTCTATTGGTTGTAACTGGAGGTTGGTATTAACTATGGAAGAATATGACGGACTAACTGTAGGGTCCCTCGTGGATGGCCGTTGGTTACATCAATTACTTACATATTTTGTCTATTGCAACCATCCGCTTCCATCAGCAGGATCGCTTCGTCATTTTTCCGTCTTCCATGTCTATAATTTCAGCGATCAGCCGACTTTTTTCTTTGGTACAATTTAACCACAAAGCTCCCGATGTGAGTCAATGATGGTAGCGAAGTGTGAATAACCAACCGTCCATATTAAAACAACAAAAAATATCTGGAAGTTGCAAACTCCTTAATAATCGATAATCGCTCGGAAAAAAAAATTGCTGATTCAACAATTCAATTGCTAAAAACAGTGAGTGCAATGTTTCAACGCAGATTTTACAACAAAAAAATGCTACTTTAACCACATTGAAAACTAATTTAACCACGGGGGTGGTTAAAGTAGCATTTTTTTGTTGTAAAATCTGCGTTGAAACATTGCACTCACTGTTTTTAGCAATTGAATTGTTGAATCAGCATTTTTTCTTTCCGTGCGATCTTTTTCTATAGGTTTATCAATCGATTCAACGCGAACACGGCACGCCGCACAATGGAACGAGTCAAAAGAAGAAGTCTGACAAAATCTGGAAACTTTGAAAGCTTAATTAAGTTTTCGAAAATATGAAACAAAAAAGTTTAAAAGTGATTTCGTTGGTTTTTCGTGAAATTTACTTTCAAAAACGCCTCTTGATATTGACTTCATGACAAAAGAAACATGAAAATTTGAAATTTCTTCAACAAATTTCATGTTCGACCTCTACTGTTAGTTCGTTCTACTGTGCGCCACTGTGGATCATAGACTTCAAAGGCTCAAGCTTTAATGGCCAATAGTAAAGATATGCGAAACCCATACGTCGTAAATTGAGACGTGACGTAAAGTAAAATCTGTTGTGTTTCAAAATAAATCCGAAGTCAATAAAATGGCGTGTTTTTCACTGCGACGAATGACAGAGCCCGGGGGCTTAATTCGGTGGCGGGAAAAAACTAGGCGGGGGCGGCTGACAGCTCTGTTCATCAATTAACGGGGAGGTGATTTATATCGCTTTTATTTTTACTTTTTCCGTTCGATATTGTGAAAAATGTTTTATGTCCGTGCCCCACCTAATTGAGCTATCAAAAAAGAATTTAGTGTTTTTGATTTTCCACCCGTCGCCCGGTGCATATTCAAAATAGAATTCAATTTCGAGTTTCGTAAATTGGTGATTTATGCTCCTTTCCTAACGTTTAGTCAAGTTCATTTCTGAGTGAATTTATCGATTGCAAAACGTTTTGTCATGATCTTCAGGGGTGGGGTCTTGATTGAGTTAAGATTTAACTGCCCATACGTTGCCTAATTATTGAGATCAAAACTTCGTTTCCCTTACGAAAGAACGTAACAACATCTGAACGTTGCCAAATTTCCTCTCGCGAATTGCATTTTTCACGAGGAGAATCTTTGGCATTTCAAACTTAAAATTTTACTGATTTTATTCCTGATCTCATGCAAAAACCGGACAAATTTTGAATAAAAATTGCACATGTATATTCCTGTAAAATATTTTATTGTTTGAGTCAGTTTTGCAACCTTGGAGTGAGTTATGTTAGTTCGTTCGGCAAACGAAAAAAGTCTCTTCCCAGAGCAAAATTGACGTTTTTTTTTAAAAAAGAGCCAAAAATAGTAGTTCCCAATTCGTCGCTTGCCTGACAAAAAGACGTAACTTCAATTTGATATCAGCCTGAGAAAGCATTGAGTTATATGAACAGCAGGGTTCATTGTCAAACGTAGTTACTTACGCCCTTTTGTCAGGGAGGCGACGAATTGCAAAATGCAGTCGATTTTAGGGAAACTAAGAAAAACTCAATTCGGGACTACATATTCACTGAAAAGTAGCCTTACCACCATGTTGAAATCTTCGCTCTTCGGACGTAAGGGCGTATCTCTGTTTCCGAGTGAACCCTGTTCTCTATGCAACTTCACGCCTTCCAAGGCTCGTGCGAAAATAGACGTACACCCTTACGTTAGAGGAGCGACGAAATGCGCACAACTTATCACGGAATAAAAGTAACAGATAATATTAAACACGTGCCACAAACCATCTCGCCTCACTTTAAAAAGAGCTTTCAGAATCCTTAGGGTTCGTGCTAAGAGTGAAATTCCCACGTTACATCTTCTCCTTGGGATGAGAATGATAAGCGCGCTGCGATTTGAGAGGGGTGAGAGGGTGAGAGGGGTGAGAGGGCGCGGCGGGGAAGAAAAGTTATAAATTAGTTTAAACGTGAAGTTTGGTGTTTTGAAGTCTTATTTGATAAGATGTTGCCGGAGGAATTCGCGAGAACCCCGAGTATTTTCAGATTCGAAAACATTTTCTTCTCAAGCTCGCCTCAGGTCAAACAAACGCCCAACTTTTACTGTCAAGAGCAAACAAGACTTAAGCATCCTTCCAAAATTGTTCGAGGGAAGAATCGTAATTATTTATCAGGCAATAGAAAATAATGGAATTTTAATATGCGGTGTGGTAACACCGTGGAGCAGGAAATCCTCTCCGTCTCTCATTTCCACTGTTTTGGGTGAAAACATCGTATCCAACGATGTTTCCCTAGTGTTCGGTGCTGATGATCCTGACTCTTTCACCATTTTTTTCTCTTTTCGGCTCCAGGAAAAAGTTTTAGACACTGGATGTTCTCTCTCTCTCTCTGTGAAATTTTTGACAGTTTTGACTCTAACATAAATTAATTCCGCAGATGGTAATGAATTCTACTAGACTGAAATTTTGCGTTTGAAAAAATTTGACCCGACTGGAGTTTGTGAATTAACTAGGAACATTCTGTCACGAATTATGACCAGACTGAGGAAAAATATTATGTTCAATCTAACCATTATCCTTTTTGAATCCAAAAATTGAGGCATTTTCCGACGATAGGGCGTATGAAGTTTTTAATGCTGCTGAGATGGTGCAATTTTTAATAGGGTTTGCGACAGATAAAATAAAGTCACAGTCGACTCACTTCCTTACAATAGTGTGGAAAAACTCGAAACAGACTCGGAGAAAATTCATGGTAGAATCGTCGGATAAGTTTATATCAGATAGAGAACTACGTTACACAATCACAGCAGTATTGAAAGTCTTATACACTCTTCAAGTGAGAAATACTTCAATAATTATAATCAGTCTAATTTTGGAAAAAGAAAGGCAAGAGCGAATATTTTGAAACACCTTAATCGAGAGTAAAGGTTTTTCTCTGAAGACAGCAAGAACTATTTTTAGCGTCTTAAATGCATTACGCCATGTTCCTCCAGCCTGAACTTAACCTAGAAAAAACATGGCAGCTTAAACCATTGCGCAGGTCTGAGACAGAGGGCTGAAATTTCCCTATCTCTGCCGTATCCGTTTTGCGTAAAAAGCTAGTTTTGTCCCGCATGTTTCATTCCACAAAGTTCATCTAGTCGCGGACCGCAGGAAAAAAAATAATAACTGTATCCATTCAACTATCCCCCGTATGTACAAGATACTCTCCAAAGTTTTTATTTAATTTTTTTTCTCAGCTCAAGCAAACACATAGCTCAAGCGAAACTAGAACAAAATAGAGAGAGGGAAAAAATTCAGCGAGAGGCTGTAACCACAACTTATGTACATTGGAGGGAAATCCTGGAAGCTAAGTAACATTCATTGAAGACTGTGAGAAGAAAGTACTATCGAAAGTCGAAAGTTGAGCATTTTTTTTAAATCGAATGTCTGCAAATTGACGATTATAAACGGCAAACCAGGTCTATTCGTAAATTTTAACGGTGATATTAGACTTAATATTTTAGAGAGTCAAACTTACGGCCCTTTGGACAAAAATGGAAGTTTACCATCAACGAAATTTGAGCACTGACCAACAATCCATGCAAGTAATGTTTTTCATGTAATGAATGATGGATTGCAAGGATTTTTCAGATGCTGAGGTAGACATTTCACCGATGAAACTTTTATGTTTTACGCAAAGGCAAAATGATAATTCTTTGACTAGAAGTCTGATTGAAATGCTAAGTTTTCACGATTCAAAACAAGCGTTTAATAAACACTGGTTGTCGGCTCAATCCGAAATTGACAACTACAATGTGTTAACATTTAATTACATTCTTCTTGGCTATTCATTATGTTTTCATTCGAGGCGGGGCAAATAAGTAAGCAAGTTTGTATTACTACAGATACAAGCAGAACTGAAATCACCTTACATAAACAAGAAACAACAATTAATATCGACAAACATCGACAAGTATGGGGCTGGAGGGGTTTACCCCCCCCTCTCCCAGAAATCTATTTTGCTCCCTCTTGAAAGGTGAGGGGTGTTAGTAAATAATTGTTTGACACATAATTAATATTTGAAATTTTAATTCGAATTACATGTTGGTAATGCAGCTCAAAATTTTTCAAAATTTTCCAACAGAAGCCCCCCGAGTCCCCCTTTGGAGTTAGGGTACTCCCACGAACCCCCTTTTGGAGCTGAGGGAGTCCCACAAATCGTTCTTCAGGGGTTTTTGTATCGTCCCCTAGGTCTCCCTTGATGATGTCTTTCCACTTCCCTCCCCCCATCCCTTCCCTCACAAAGCTCCTAGTATGCCCCAAGTCGACGAAAAAGAAATTAAAGAGAGAGGGAAAAAATTGATCTCATCTCACCTTTTATTCGCTCCACGTGTAGGTAAATCAGAAGAACGAGTGTGAAAAACTTCTTGAGGCTGATATCACTTAAACTTTGAACAACAAAAACCATTTTGGTGGAAACTATACACAAAACCAACAAACAACAAAACTAAAAACAAGGCCAGAAACTCGTCAAAAGTCGCGATACCATTCGCGGAACTTTCTTTCCTAAGTGAAGGAAAAATGAAACAGGTACAAGAAGAAACAGAAACGAGCTTTCAGAAAAACGTGGTTCGAAGGGGTAGGAAGTTTCATCGCCGAACTAGGACCGCACTCATCTCGACGTCACAGAAGGGTTGAATCCCTCGAAAGATGGGGCCTCCGAAGATTACGCGAGAAGGTAAGGTTAGGGTCGATTCGGAGCGGTAAACAAGCGGCGTGGATAGGAAAGCGCGCCTCGCCCGCTTTGAAATCAAGCGCTTACTGGATTACGAACCATGTTTTGAGCCAGCGTCTGACAGTGCCGCGACACTAGCGCTCATAACTAGTACTAAATAATCTGATATGAATTTCCGCTTCCCTTCCTGAGACACCGCCGCATTTTTTACCGCTCTTTCTCGCTGCCCCTCGCGCTTTCGGTGCGGTGTTTTCGTTAGGGCTGATTATAGCATCTCATTAGGAAGTCACTGCTCAGCGGCAGTCGAAAGGCGAGCGTGGTGCCGCGGTAATTCTTAAATCGAATCGGTTTTCCGTGGAGAAAAAGCACCGTGCTCGGGAACTGGTTAAGAGCGACTCAAGCGTTTCGACATACGCGGTTGAAACAAGAGGCTTCATTAGGAAAAATGGAAATTAACCATAAATTAAAGAGGAAGAAGCAAAAAAATAGAGAGAAAACTGCGGGCATTTGCGAAACAAGCAAGTTTGCCTTCATGCCAGAGAAATAGACATTTTTTAAAGTATTCGTGTTTGCAAATCATATACGCATGCACGAAGAAAAAGCAAAATGCAATTTTGGAAGTGCGAGCTTAGACCTATCAGATGGTCAATGTTGAATGGGTGTAAAATGTTGAATTTCAGAGTGACGTAATATATGAATGGCCCTTTACTTTAGCTGCAGATTTGAGAACAATTTCTGATTACTAATCTTTATTGATGCTTGCAATTTGAGGAGGGCAACAAGGGTATAGACGAGTTTTCGCGTATTGAGCCACTTTCGTGACACTCTCCACCGGTGACATAGTCATCCTCTTTTTTTCGTCAAGATTTGACCCAAAAAGACGATGCTAGAACAGATGAAAATTATGACGGTTTTTGACCTATGTTACGGCTATGTTTTCGCCTCAACTCAATCAATACCCTGGTAAAAATTGGCAGTAGAATATGTGTTCTAAAATACCATAGACCTACAGCCGGCTGTAAGATTTTCATTAGTTTCTATAGCCGGCTACACAATTTCTTATAGCCTTTAGTAGCCGATGGCGATTAAGCAGCAGCCAGACGATAAAGTGTATGCTAAACGTTACTAATTACGGATGCTAGGACTTAGTGAGTTTTTGGAATACTGCTCTCTTTTTGGGCCGTAGTATCTTGATTTATTTTGCGAGGAAAGCTCCGTACTTTTGATGGATGCCTGCCATTACTAATATATTAGAGCGCCTTCAGTTTCGTATGATACTGTGCAATACATCTTGTGTGAAATAGTTGCTTCAAGCGCCGTGGCAGGCGGGCAGCCAGCGCGAAACACGCATTGGCATTTACAAACCTAACAGGGATACTTCACGCGTTGCGCAATGCGTGAAGTATCCCTGTTAGGTTTGTAGGTGCCAGTGCGTCGCCGCTCCGCTTTGTGTTAGGCTCTAATATTTAATCTGGCGGAGTCATCGTTATACAACTCATGATTTTGAAATGTTTGCACATCCTGTATGGATTATTCTCGTTTTAATTGATGAAAAAAAAATATGTACTAAAGGAAAATATAATGTGTGTTTTGTAAATATTAAAGTGGTTCCGTATCAAACTAAATGATTTCCAAAGCACACGAATTTCTACACAATTTCTTATAGCCTATTATAATCGATGGCGAAAAAGCAACAGCCAGGCGATAAAGTGTAAAGCCCGTCGATAGGAACTATAGCCCGGCTGCATAATTTTTTATCGCTTCGTAAAGCCCGGCCGTATGATTTTCTCCGCATTCTACAGCCAGCTATATGATTTTCTGTAGCCTTCTTTAGCCGGCTATAAGAATTCCCATGGTATTTTGAAACGCAGCTCTTATCGCCAATTTTTACCAGGGTACAAGTATTTTTCATACCCAGCTGAACAAATGTTCATTTTGGACACTAGTCATCAATTTACGTATGAAGTGTGGAATTATTTGTACATAGGTAAGTGTTGTGCTGAATTAGCTGAATTACACGGATTCAAATGAAAAGGAACTACATCCATTCTGACATGAGCCCTGAGATCCATATCAGTATGACATGACAAGGTTCACGTTAAAATGGAAATAGTTTATTTTGATTTAAATACGCTCGATTTATTTTAACTTATTTTTAATATCGTGAAAAGGTTTGGTTTCCGTAGAGAGCTCCTCCAAGTCTTTTTAAATGATTTTTTTCGAAGATTGAAAGAAAAAAACTTAAAAACTTAAAAAAATCAGGTGTGAGCAAAAACAGGATATTTTTGCAAGGAAATTGGCACGCAGTTTTAATCTGAAATAAAAGCTCCATAAAAAAAGGAAAGTTTCGCGACATTTCAGTATTTTCTCGCAGTTTTTCATGCGAACGGATAGCTGGAAGGTAGGAAATTGCTACAGGAAGCCAATTCCCATCCACCATCGAGAGACAGAGAAAAGAAAGTTGAAGTTTTCAATGCACTACACCCCAGCTCTCCTTGGGCTCTTGAATGTAAGCCAGGTGCTAACGGAAATAAATTCAACGAGTCAACAGCAAACTTGAGCCCCTCCCACCCTCCCTCACCTCGCGACTCATTTTCCCTCCTTTTTCCACGTTTAAGCGGAAAATTATGAGCTCCGAGAGCGGAATAATGCCTCAATTTTTCTCTGATATAAAAACAAATCATGAGGTGGAACAATTGACGTGAAACAGGATTATCTGATTTGCCCCCTCCCCCGCCTCTCGTCCTGTTTTCTTTTCTCCCGGAGTGACGTCATAACTCCTCCCGGACAGCCACTCTTTCAATTTTAACGGCGCCCCCAAGTTAACTCATTAATGTAAATGAACATTAATTTTCGACCGGGAAGAATTAAAGGGTGGTCGGGGGGCGAGGGGGTGGAAAAATATGCTGGCTGGAATCTATAATGCAATTTGCCGCGGAGCCTTCGCAGAATAAAATATGGCAGTTTCACTTATTTCGTCATTTACTTAGCCGACCTAGCTGTCTCGTTTATTTTCCGTCCCTTTTCCCCGACCTGGTGTTTTTTTCTCGTGGCTTTGCTACTCTTGTTTGACTTTGTGCGACGTTCTTCGTCCCCCGCCCGCCCCTCCTCCGACTAGGCTTCAGTCTGTCTGTATTTCAAAGCAAACTGTGTCATCATTCAAACAACCTTGCCACATCTTCAGTATAAGTTGGCAATATTGGAATGCTTCTGATCAAAAAACAGAAATTGTGAGGCTGATACTGAAATCCAGTTAATTTTCTTCTTTCCTTCTCCAACTTTTCTATGTATCTCTTAAGGTGGTCATAGTTTCTAAAGGACCGCTTCAGAAAGAGCTAACACTACTACCGCTGCTACTATTTTTCTTCCTTTTTCTGTCTTCCTCTTCTTTTTGTTTTTTTCTTCATGTTATTATTTCTATGCTTTTTTCGTTTTTCATCCTCTCCTTGACTTGCCTCTTCCTCACCTTTTCCCCCTATTTTCCATCCTACCCTTCTTTCTCTTTTCTATTTTTTATCTCTCTCTCTTCATTTTTTTCCTCTCAGTTATGGAACATTTCTGTTTGTACACAAAAAAGAAACGTTCATTGAGAACTAACTAACTTTTTCCTTCAAAACTTTCAGTTGCCTTAAACATAAATGAAGCAAAGTTCCGTTGTTCTAAAAGGAATTCCACGCGCGATTTTAAAAACATAATTTTTAACACTTTTTCACGCAAATTGAAATTTGTTAAAAAACTTAAACTATAACTATAAAAACTATAATTTTTAAAGCTTTGGAACTTTTTTGAACACTCAATAGAAACCCATTTGGATCCAAGAAGAAATATTTTTCATGTGTTACCGTCCCTCTTTCCCCGATATTTAGCTCCGTCCTAGGTATTGTTCGTTTTATTCTTCTTTCTTTGCACTTAACTTTGCTTAATTTTTTTTCTTTATGTGCTTCACACCTGTTCTTTTCTGTGCACTCCCATTTCTTTAATTTTTCATGTCCTTTTTTCTGTTCCCTTTTTCCCTCATTCTTACCTCTCTTCCTCCTTCATCCCATTAATTTCTTACGCTAAAAATGTGCAACATAATTAATTACTTAAAACGGAGTTTAGGTTTCAGTCCCCCGTCAATCCACAAGACACAACGTTAATGCACATGCGCAATTCATATCTCCTGTATCCCTGGGTACACGACCCTCTGAAAAGCCTAACATTTTTCATAAATAATGACAACGCCGCCATTAGGATCACGCAACAGGGCTGTAAATTCGCTCGGAAAAACTCGCCCATTTACTGGGATTTGATACGGAAAAGTTCCGATTTTTCACCCGCCATTACAGCTATGTGAGGCAGGAGTGTGATTGTGCCGACCTAATGTTGCTGAAGGAGCAGATAAAGATTCTCCTGCTTTCTCCTCCATTACTTTGTGACGATCCCTTTGCCGGGATTACGGCCGTGTCTAATGTTTCCCGCTTTTCCACAAAAAAGGAAATGGGACGGATAGATATTCGAGGAAAGCTCGGCTTTGAAGCGCGGCTCATCCAATTGTCCAAAGCTTTGGTTCGGCTGCACTTCGCAACTATTTAAGTAATCAAAGGAAACTGGGTTGTTGCCTAATGAGTTTTGCGAGGTTCTCCGAACTTTTCAAGTCTTTTTTCCGGAAATTGTCCGCGTTTACTTCAAATGAATTTGTACTGAGATGACACAGTGCTCGCGATTGGTTCGATTGAGAGGATTTCTTTTCGCCCTACTTTTCCGAAACCTAGTTTGTAAAGCACACGATTTTGAGGTGAATATACATACGATCTTCCAATCCACCAATTTTTTAACGAGATCCAACGAGAATTGAATTGGTTTGTAAGATAATTATTTATAATCCAGTTTTTATATCCAATTTAAGAAATCAAGAACTAATCTTAAAATTTTAAATAAAGGAAATGTGAAAAAGCTGTAAATATGTTAGCAATTTTTTTTTTTAAAAAAAAACTACTCCCGATATACATGTAATATACTCGTAAACCAAATTCATACCCTTAATTTTGAACAAAAAGGTTTGATTTTACGTGTCTGATTCATTAAGTTTCCATGAAAAGTTAAAATGAAAAAATATCAAC